TAGGGAAGGGGGAGGGGAGAATGAGGCAATATGGCGCCTGCCGCGCGGCTCGGGTCTGTGCACAGGGAGGTGCCCTGAGGGAGTTGGGAGCCTGGTGCCACGTCCACTACAGGCTTACCGCTCGCTAGTGGTGGCCGTCTCTGGGCTGGTGTCCACAGGTCTCTCCAACTTCTGGGGAGCCCACCGGCAGTCCAAGATGCAAGAGAGGGAAAAGTTAACCGCTGCACCTACCCTTGCCACTGGTCTCCAGGCTACTCAGGATGTCTCTGTGTCCAGTTCTCCTCTGTTACCTACTCTCGTGGAGTCTCCTGTGGTCTCAGGTACCCTTCCTTCCGACCCTCCTCTGATGTAGGCTCATCTGCTTGCTTTTTTCTTCTAATTTCTCCTAGCATCTGCCTTTTCTGCAGAGACACTCTGTCTGGCGGTGTTTCTCGTCCACCATTTTCTATCTCTATTTCTTCCTGATTGAGCCTAGGGAGGCTATGTGTTTTTATGAATTTGTCCATTTCTTCCACATTTTCAAGTTTATGTGCATAGAGATTTTTATAGTATTCATAGATATTTTGTGTTTCTGTGATTTTAGTTGTAATTTCTCCTTTTTCATTCCTGATTGAACTTATTAGAGTCCTTTCTTTTCTGCTTCTCATTAATCTAGCAAGCCAACATTAGAGTATCTCTTTTAATAGAGAAATTTAACTCATTTAATTTTTTAGTAATGATTAATATCTTTCTTATTCCTGCCATCTTATTTTATCGTTCTAATTTCGATGGTTAATGTTTTATTTTATTTTATTTATTTGCTACTTTTGCTTTTCCTTCCCTTTGATGAATTGCTAAGGCCTTTTTGGTCCACTTTTTTCCTCTAATGGTTTGGTATGTACACATTCCATTTCTATTTTCCTAATGGTTGACCTTTAAATATTTAACATCTGTACTTATACACACTTTTCACTTAGTTATGTATAGAGTTAATCACTATCCATTTCTTCTCCCTAAACAAGAGAAGAATCTTACTTCCTACTTTGTTGAGATAATATGGGATTTTACTTCCAAATTGTTATCAATCTTTTGGACATTTTCCCTTAACAATTACTTAGACTTACTCTAATTTCTTTGTTCATAACTCATCACTATATACTTTGTATTTTTTAAATTCATATTATTACTCTGCTCATTTTGTTTCTTTGATTCATTTTTCACTCTGTGGAAAAACATCCTTGTGTAATTGCTTCAAGGAAGGGTTATATGGAGAAGCAAACTTTCTGGGTTCTTATACTTCTGGAAATGTCTTCATTTTGCTTTGCTACTTCAACGCTGATTAGATTGCATATAGGAGTCTAGTTTTAAAAATATATTTTACTCATAATTTTAAACATATTGTTTTCTAGTATACACTTTTATTGATGAGAGGTCTAATGCTAATCGATGCTTTTGAAAGTAATTCACTTTTCTTCTTTGGCAATACCACTTATTTAAGAAACTGTCCTTTCTCCACTTTGTGTTCTTGGCATGTTTCTCAAAAATCAATTGATTATAAATGAATGTATTTATTTACGGGCTCTTGATCCTGTTCTATTGGACAATGTATCTGTTTTTATGCTAGTACCATGCTGTTTTGGTTGTTATAGCTTTGAAATAGACATCAGGTAGTGTGATACCTCTACCTTTGTTCTTTTTACTCAAGATTGCTTTGGCTGCTTAGGGTCTTTTGTGGTTCCACTCAAATTTTAAGATTTTTTTTTCTATTTCTGAGAAAAATAACATTTGAATTTTGATACAAATTGCATTGAATTTATACATCACTTTGGGTAGTATGGACATTTAACAATACTAATTCTTACAATCTATGAACATGGGATACCTTTTCATTTATTTGGGTTGCCAATTATTTCTTTCGTCAATGTTTTATTTAGTAGTTTTCAGTATATAGATTTTTCACCTTCTTAGGTAAATTTACTCCTAGGTATTTTATTTTGCTTTTGATGTTATTCTGAATGGCATTGATTTCTTAAATTCTTTTTCAGATAGTTCATTGTTAGTGTAAAGAAACACTACTTATTTTTGTTTGTTGATTTTGTATCCTGCAACTTTAGTGAACTTGTTTATCAGTTCTAACAGGTTTTTTTTTTTTTTTTTTTTTTTGTAGAGTCTTAAGGGTTTTCTATATATAAGTTCATGTCACTGGCAAACAGACACAATTTCACTTTTTCCTTTCCTATTTTGATGCTTTTTATTTCTTTTACTTGTCTAATTGCTCTGGCTAGAACTTCCAGTACTATGTTGAATAGAAGTGGTAAAACCAGGCACCATCTTGTCTTGTTCCTAATCTTAGAGGAAAAGCTTTCAACTTTTACCCACTGAGTATGATGTCAGCTTTTGGCTTGTCATATATGGCCTTTATTGTGTTGTGGTGCATTCCTTCTATACCTAATTTGTTGAGAGTTTTATCATGAAGGAATGTTGAACTTTGTCACATGCTTTTTCTGAATCTATTGAGATAATCACATGGTTTTTGTTCATCCTGTCAATGTGGTACATCCTATTTATGGATTTGTGTATGTTTAACCATCCTTGCATCCAGGTTTAAATTCCACTTGATCATGGTGAATAATCCTTTTAACGTGCTGTTGAATTCAGTTTGCTAGTATTTTGTTGAGGAATTTTGCTTTTATGTTCACCATGGATACTGGGCTGTAATTTTCAAATTTTATAGTGTCCTTGTTTGGCTTTGGTATCAGGGTAATGCTGGCCTCATAAAATGAGTTGAAAAGTATTCCTTCCGTTTCATTGTTTTGGACTTTTCTCCTCTTTGTAACTTCTAGGATATTTTCTTTATTCTCTTTATTCTTGGTATTCTAAAGAGTCATCACAATGTGTCTAGCTAAGGGTCTTTTTGATTAACATATTCTGCACTTAGTAGGCCATTTCAATCTGAATGCTCATCTCTTTATTTAAAATTTTATTTGATCATTCCTTTATTTCATTCTCTCCATTCCTCCTGTTCTGTCTGAAATTTCTATTACACCGATGGGATCTGTCTAGCTCTAAGTCTTAACTTTTATTTCATATTTTCTATTTCTTTGGCCTTTTGGCTCTATGAGAGAATCCCCTGCTTGATCTTTCAGCTCATTAGTTCACTCTTCAGCTGTGTCCATTCTGCTATATTTTCCATCTACTTTTAAAATATATTTCAATGATTGTATTTTTTCCCCAAGTTCATGCTTTACTTTCCTCTTTTTAATAATGGCTGCTGCCTCCACTTCCTTTCCCTTCTTCTAATTTAACAGATGTGTTATGTTCTCCAATCTCCCTAAACATAGGAATTATATTTATTTCCAAATCCTTTGGCTCTATGTATTCTTTTTCTTCCTCAGGTGTTCATTCATCTGTTAGTTGAGTGTGGTGCCACTCTTTCTTGATGTTGGTTTTCCCCAAATACTTTGGGATTATTGTTGCTTATTCTTTGTGATCAAGAACCTAGTTCACATCTTGGTGGATCAAGTTCTCATCACAGAAGCATCTCTGGGGATCGCAGAAGAAAGACAAGATGTCGGCTAGGCAGGTAGCTTCCCTTTGAGGGTGGGTCCCCTGGGGGGCCATGCTCTGCCTCTCAGACCTCAAGAGCCCAAGGGGTGTGATGCCAACTGCTGCTTTCAGTTTGTGAACATTCACAAATGCTCTCCAAGTGCAAGTCTCTGAGAAACCAGCCTGGCTGTGGCCCCAGGCCTCTCCTGTGCCGTGTATCTACTGATGCTGAGCTCAGAGAGTCCCTGGGCTGCTCTCACATCCTTCATGGTCCTCACTCATCCTCTTTGGTGGTGGTGTGCTTTCCTCAGGTCTTGTTCCTTTGTCAATCAAATCCCAACTGCTCTCTCCCATTTAGGAGTTCCTGGACATTTGTGGTTCTCCAATAGCATTCTTTCATGCTTTTTCCTCTTAGCACTGTTACGAATTTATTCTTTTCAAAAATATCTTCTTCCATTAAGGACTTTGGGAAAGGAGGGAAGATAGACCTATGTGTTCAGTCTGATATTTGTGTCCAACTCCCATATTCAAACGTGGCAGAGGCCTAAGGCTGTTAAATAGCTGCTTACCGTGGCCCTGGGTTCTGATAGTTTATTGTCTGAGGGAGGCAGACTGCCATTTCGATATATTTTGATGATACTTGGGATTGGGTAGGGGAGAAGGGTTCTGAAGAACATGGTGAAGGTGGGGCTATCAGAAAGAGAGTCCCTGGACCCTCTGGAAAGGGACACCAGGGAAGAAGAAAGGGCTCGCTGCTTCTTCTAGCACCATAGTGTGTAGAATATATGAGCTAGAATGGACTTGAGAAGTCATGTGGTCAAGGGATAGGGTAAGTAGCTGTCACCTATCATCTACCAGCCCTGGACTAGATGTGGGTCCCAGAGCTGTAGGCTGTGATAAGCAGGAAGGTCAGAAAGACAAAGTCTGAGGCAGACCCAGGGGGTTACCATGAGCCAGAGGAGAGAGGAGAAGCAGGCTGTGGCTGCTCACTCAGGGTGGGCACGAGACACACCCCTTCCCCAGTCACACATGAGGCCAGCAGCCTTCCAGCAAGCGTGAACACTCAAGGCTGGTTTAAATGAAGGTGAAGCTCAGTGCATGTGGACAAAGCCCCCCCACAGCAAACAGCACAGACACTTGCAGAGTGACCACTGAGGCCACAAAAGTTAGATGTCTTGCTCAAGGTCATAAAGTCAGCATGTTGCCAGCTTGGCTTTGAGCCTGCTCAGATTCCAAATGGGGACGCTTTTAACATGTGACTTTGGGTGGTCACCAGCAGGGTCAGTGTCCAGTGGGCTGCTCCATCGAAAGTTGTCATAGGCAACAATGAAATGAATGGCTCCCCGTCCAGGAGAAGAGAGCTACACGCACCTCCTCCCTTCTCACTTGCCTGGAGACAGCTGCCTCTCATTCTACACCAGGCTATCAGCAGCGCCACACAGGCGCGTACGTGTGCACCCGTCCTTGAGACCCACCTGAAGAGGAGCAGCACAGCCTGAGGGAAGGTCTGAAAGTTGTTATTCCGGTTGATCTCTGTGGTGTCATTCAGGGCAATTTTTCCAAACACCTAGCAGAGGGAAGGAAGAGGTATTCGGTGACCTGTGGAGAGAGGGGGTCCTAATTTCCCACCATTGGTCAGTGGTCATTCTGGAACTGGCTGGCTTATAAGCTGGACAGAGCTACCTGATGTGATCTGGCAGGCACTTGATGCCCCACTCAGTCTGACCCCAACCCCGTGGCCTGGTGGGAGCTGAGGCTGAGAAAAGGTGCACGCAGAGACCGGGACCTGCTTCAGTCCAGGGACACGGGTGCACTGGCTTTCCTTTGTCATTTCAGCTCCATATGCCCAAACACTATTCCAAATTTAGTCCTTGCATTTTGGAGTGATGCACAGTGAGAGATCTGGGGCTTGGGCAAACTTAATTCATTCTGGAAATCAGAAGCCTCCTTTTTTCCCCTAACCTTTGAAAGCTATGCTTATAGTAGAAGCTGCTACCCTTCAATGGGCGTCATGGTAGCTCTTATATTTCAATAGATTTTTGCTTATGGACCTTTGGGTTTTTCTTCAATTAGCAAGCAGGGGACATTACTTAAGGAGCTGCTGATGAGGAGCTCCAGGCTAGTGTGTTGCCAAGGCTGATCTTGGGACCCCAGCTAGGGGTGGAGAGGCTGGAGAGCTCTGGGTGTGGGGACAAGGTGCAGTGGGCACTGGGAGAGGGCCCAGGAATCTGCTGCATGCTCGATGGGGCACAGTCTGCCTTCATTTGTTCGCTAGTTCATTCCTTCCTTTCCTCTTTCCTTCTTCTTCCCCCCAGGCCTCCCTCTCAGTCACTAGCTTCTTCTGAATGACACTGGTTGGGGTTTGTTCTCAGGCCAATGAGGCCTGGACAAAGAGGGACGCTGGTCAGACACACCTTGCTGCTACTGCCCAAGACAGCTGTGCCTCCTAGGGTCTGCTGCATAATCCTCCACCAAGAGCAGAGCCCTGGCCTGGGGCCTGGGGAGGGAGGCCTCTGGGCTGTGCTTGGCCACCCCCTGCTAGCTAGGGGATGTCCCTTTGGGGGATGTTCTAATCCCCACAACCCTTTAGGCTCAGAAGATGGAAGAGGAGGGAGAGGGACAGTCAGGAACAAGAGGGAGAAGCCAGGGAGGAGGGTGGCGGGAACGCAGTGAGGGAAGGCAGCGCAGGGACAGCCCCTCCTACCTGCATGCCAATCACAGCGTAGATGAAGAACAGCATGACAATCAGCAGGGCCACGTAGGGCAGGGCCTGGAAGGAAGTGTGCAAAGCTGTCATGAGGCTGCAGCGCGCCGGCCGCCGTGCCCCCAGCTCTGCAGCCATCGGTGGCTGCTTGGCCTTGGGCAGGGGGCACTTCCAAGAGCCCCATAAAAGTACTGGGGAGCTGGGAGAGGGCCTGAGAGATGGGCACTGTCTTCTCATTCTAGCTTCGTTTCAAATGCTGTCTGCAGAGTCATGGGCAGGGTGTGATATCCAGCAAAACAAGCACACAGGAGAGAACCTGGGCTATCACTGCGGGGGTCTGGACAGGCAAGGAGAAAGCCATGGAGGATGCCACCAAGCTGACACAGGTCCAGGGGAGGCAGGCCACACCTTTCTTTACACATATTGGTCTTGTTCCACTAGCTGCAGTGAGCAGGAGTTGCTACTGTAATTAAACTTTTTTTTTTTGAGACAGAGTCTCAGTTTGTTGCCCTGGCTAGAGTGCCATGGCGTCAGTCTAGCTCACAGCAACCTCGAACTCCTGGGCTCAAGCGATCCTCCTGCCTCAGCCTCCCAAGTAGCTGGGACTACAGGTCTGCGCCACCATGTCCAGCTAATATCTCTCTCTCTCTCTCTCTCTCTATATATATATATATATATATATATGTATGTATATTTTAGTTGTCTGGCTAATTTATTTCTATTTTTTTAGTAGAGACAGGATCTTGATCTTGCTCAGGCTGGTTTCGAACTCCTGAGCTCAAATGATCCACCTGCCTTGGCCTCCCAGAGTGCTAGGGTTACAGGCGTGAGCCACCGCGCCCGGCCTGTAATTAAAACATTTAATAAGGAAACACTTAAAAGAAAGATCATGGGCTTAAATTCTATTTATTCCACTTTTTAGCTATAGAAGCTAGGGCATATTACTTAATTTCTCTGAGTTGCCTCCTCATCTGAAAAATGGGAATAATAGTTAATTCACAGGGGTTTTGTGGAGTTTAAATGATTTAAGGGCAACACCTTGCAGAGGTGGGTTCCATACATTTTATTCACTCCACATATCTGCCAGGCAGCCTGGACGACTTAACTTCCCAGGTCCCAGCTACTTCCCCCAGCGGCCGCGGGGCGCGGGCTCCCAGGGGAGGCGGTGTTAGCCGCCGCCGCCGCCAGATGGCGCTGCGGGACCACCGGAACTCCCGCCCACGCGGCCTCGCAGGCGGCCCAGCCTGGAAACGGGCGCAGGGCGCGCACGGTGGGGCCTGCACGGCCGCTCGCGTCCGCGGCAGCCCGGGGCTGTGCCCACTCGTGCCTGTGGATTCCGACTCTCCAGAGCCCCCGCTGAGCAGGGCGCGGGCAGGGGAGTCAGCCTGCAGCCCGTCGGGGGAGGGCTGGCCATTAGGAGGGGCCAGGCTGCGCCCCTGACTGCTGGCCCGGTGGAGTCCCAGGCCGGAGGCTGCCTGGAGAGCTGTGCCCGGGGGACCGGACTCCAGGCGGTGCCCACGGCAGACCACCATTCCCCTGGCGGCAGCTACAGCCGCGGGGCACCCCTGCAGCCGGCCCGGCTGCATCCTCCAGCCTGAAGCAAGCTGGCCGGGGCAGGGGACACGGAAGGCCACTCGTCCCTGCTGGTCTCCGGAGGTGGCAGTGGCACCTCCACGGGCACCAGGCCCAGGAAGCATGAAACCGTATCTAGGCGTTTCTACACTGATCTTCTAGGAATTCAAGTGACCGGACAGCTTTGCTTCTCTTTAACTTCGAACTTACATAACATTCCTCAGAGCTGGCCAGGCGAGCACTATTCGGTTTTTACAGGTGGAAGCAATGGCTGAGAAAAGGAATTAATCACACAGCGCAGCAGTCCTGTGCCCATAGGAGGGGGCCCTCTCCTGGAGGGGAGTGACACCAGGAGCCCGGAGGTGGGCTAAGGACATACACAGGTGCGGTCAGCAGTGCTGAAATGCCCGCGGGGTGGAAAGGGGGGACAGATTCTGAAAATTGGAGGGACCATAGCGGTTACCAGACTGTCCAGGCCCATGGTTTCCAAGTTTGTTCCTGGCCACAAAAGCCCTTTGTCCAGGACATTTTTGCAGAAAAATACAAAAAACGAGAGAAGACAGACCTTTCAGCGTCCCCTGCCTCCCGCCCCAACTTTCCCACCCCACCCGACCCTGGGGAAAGCGGGCCTTCCAGGAGCTGCCCACGTGTTCCGCAGGCGCTCAGACAGGAGGGCCTGTCTGAGCTCATCCGGGCCTGCCGCTCATCCGGGCCCAGGGGCAGCCGGGAGCTGTGGAGGCTCTTCCCCTCAGGCTACCTGGAAGGACTTGATGAAGGTCCACAGCAGGGTCCGGATGCCCTCCCCTCGACTCAGCAGCTTCACCAGGCGCATGACCCGGAACAGGCGGAAGAAGGTGATGGAGATGCGGGAGTTTTCCTCTGCGTTCTGGAACCCATCGGCAACAGGAGGTGCAATTAGCACCGCCAGAAAGCGGTGGGGCGAGAGGGGCGGTCCCACTCAGAGAAATAGCCCTCGGTGGGGGAGGCAGGGAGGAGCTCGCTGCACTAGACCCGTCCCTGCCCAGGAGCAGGGCAGCTGTCCACACCCAGCCTGGTGGTCTCCACTGAGCCAAGCTGTGCCCAGGCCCCTGAGCTGCCCAAGGCCCCGTTTCTCTGTCCTCTCCTCTTCCCCTTCATTCCTAATTCTTAGTGCCCTGGATGGGCAACAGAAGATTCCACGGGGAACTACCATATGCCTTGGAATCTTCTAGGCCCAGACATAGCTGCCCTTGCCTCTGCCCTGGTGTGGCAGAAGCAGTCCCCACCTCCCTCCTGTCTGGCATAGCTGAGGGTATGCGCCCTGTATGGGACCTGGCTCTCTGCAAAAAGGCTGCCCGGGGGTGGCCTCTCTCCTGGCCCTAGGTGTGCTCGCACGTCGGGGTCCTGGGGGGCTGCCCACGGAGGGGTCTCACGCCCTGGCTGCTCAGGACTCTGGCTTGTCTTGAGTCACCTCCTTCTACTTCCCACAGCCCCTGTCCCAACGGGACTCGAGGAGGGCTGGGGAGGGTGCGCTCAGTGCTGGAACTGCCGCCCTCACTTTGGCACTGTCGTTCCTATTCCTCCGGCCCTGGGGCCTCCAGGGTGCTCCAACCCTCTCCAGGCTGCATAAGACCCTGGAGTGGGTGGGGGCAGGGGACAGGGGAAGGGAAGAGAGCCCATCCTAGACAAGACCGGGGCCTGATATGTGAGCACCACAGGGTCCTGCTCAGGGCAGGCCGTCTCCCTCAGCGAGCCTTGTGGCGGGTAGGACGGAGGCCGGTACCCTGAGTGGACTATGACCTTCGGGCTGCCGAGGCTGCCCTGGAGGAGCCCAGGGGCTTGGACACGTGCCTGGCCAGGGCTCGGGGGCAGGACAGGCTGCCCTGTCCCCCTCTGCGTCCAGACCTGAGAACAGCATGGCCCACTGCCCCCTTGGCCCCTCTCCTGCCCACGCCTGCCTGTCAGGGGCCAGCCCACCAGGGAGCGACTGCCGCCACCCCGGGCTAGTGCAGCTTACCCAGCCCTGCCGGCACCAGGAGAGAACGGACCCTTGTGGCTTCCTGTTACTGTTCCATCCACTGGGGCCATCGGAGCCTTCCCTGCTCCTCGTGTCAATTCTCCTCTTGCCTTACTTTTATTATTTCCAGGTCAGACCCTCCCTGGGAACATCCATGTCCCATGTACACCCCCTGGAAACCCTACTGGCACTGAAGCCCCAAGGTTCTCATGGGCTCGTCCACTCTCATGCCATGGCCTGCCGTGGCCGTTCCCGAGGAGGCTTCAGCGGGCATCATCCCCTCACATGCAGGGTGGGAGCACGAGGGACGCCGGGAAGTCCAGAGGCAGCGCTTCCATGTCAGCATGCCTGCCCTGCATGGAACCAAGCCAGGTCTCTTCTGGTTTTCAGACCCTCCAGAAAGGAGAAGAGGCAGCATATTTCTTATATTGCAAACTCAGAGCTGCCTTGGTTCCTCCTAGGGCTCCCAAGGCAGGGGACAGGCTGGCGGTGTCCGGGCCTGCCCCGTGGTGCCCGGGGCTAGGTTGGGAGCAGCCCTAGCCTGCCTCCTGGCCCTGCCTGGAGTCCCCGATGCCCTTAACCTCTGCATTTCTACCCTCATTTCTGCTGGAGATTCTGTTTTCACTCCTTAAAAGGAGGCTGTGTTTCCTCAGAGGAAGATGCAGAGGTGGCTTAGGGTTTTCTAACTCAGCTGTCAGTTCCCCCATGTTCTGGAAAGGAGAAAGAACAAGCTTAAGTGGGGAACTTCAGCTGTGAGTGTCAAGAATTTGAGAAGCTGGTGCCACAGGGGCCTCTGGATCTGCTGAGTTAAAAAACAAAACAAACAAAAAAAACATGCACACCAAAATCCAGGCGTGCTGTTTGAATTTCACTCTGCTGTTCAGAACCCTCCACAGATGCTGCAGTTTCCTAATGCTGCTTGGGAGGGGGAATAAACACGTTGCCATTTGGACGCTAATTTCCTCTAATAAACACAATGACGATGCAGAGCAGCAGCAGATCCAAATGGCTGTGGCTGTGACACTGGGGCAGAGTACTCCCAGGCAGCCTTTCAGCCAGTCTGGGGTGGGCAGCCTTGGGGAGTGCCATCAACCCACCAAATCTTGCCTCCACCCTGCTGGGTTCTGGGGCACAGGGAATCAACCCACTGGTCCTTTTAAAAACTCATGTTTAACGCAGTTTGAAATGTGCGACCACAGCCTTTTGGAGGAGGCTGTTCCAAGGAGACTTCAAGGTCATACTGAGTGGCATCAGTTGAGCCAGTTCGAATCATAGACTCCTACACCAGGAGTGACCCAATCAATTGAACTTGTCTTTTGCTTCCAGCTTGCTTCAGAAAAGTGGCTATAGTCTAATTTTAATGAACTTCAGGAATTTAGAAAAATGCAAGGGGAAACATGGTTGGAGTGCCTGGAAATTCAACCATGCTCTTAATACCAAAGCACAGCTTAAACCTTCTGTGTGGCCTTACGCTCAGAGAACAGGGAGGCTAGTGGCTATAGATGCCGGTCAGCAGGAAGCCACTGTCTGCCCTTGTGTCTCCTGGCTGGATCACTTCTCTCTTCCCTCCTTTCCCTGGAGGCCCTACCACGGCTGTCTTAAATACCCTCCACAAATTTCCCACATCAGATTAAGGTTGGAGGCTTTAGCCAGTGGAGTCGTTGGGGTATCTAACAGGAAAAGGCCCTAGGGTCCAATTCTCTCCCAGTGGTTAGTTCGATAGTCAAGGTTGCGGTGAATCATCACCCAAAGGGAAGCTTGGGGAGGTGAAAGAACACCACTGCACACACAGCACCTGCACAGGAGACCGGGACAGGCAGGCAAGGCACACGACAGACATGGTGGCCGCATGCAACGAGAGCCAGGCGGGCTCCGGGAGACTCTGGAGGTTGGGGCAGGGAGAGTGGGGGTCTTTAAGGGGTCAAGAAGCTGGGAGTGTGGTTGGGGGTTCAGTCTTACCATAGAGGGAGAGCATTGGGTATGTTCAGCTGGCTTTAAAGAAAGGCAGATAGAGATAAGCTGTAATGAGTCCCCACGAAGACGCCTGCTATTCTAGGTCTTGGCTAACACAGGAGCAACATGGTGGCAGGAGAGAGCAAAAGGAAACAAGTGAAAGGAACACGGAAGTGTGGGCCTGGCAGGCGCTGGGGCATCCTGTGAGTGAGGGCTCCATGTCACTGGGTGCCCCATCTAACAAGGAGCCACAGGCACTTTCCTGCCTATGCCATCCTGGCCACAAATTTAGTAACTCACACCCATTTTAGATAGGCAGATGAGGTACTCAAGGTTTTGTGGACGGAAGCTTTGTTTTTTTTAAAAAATTAGCTCTAAGATAACCCTGAGGGCCAGCACTTCATGCCCTTTAGCATCCCCAGGGAGGGCCAGCTGAAGGACAGAGGTCTTGCTGGCCTCAGTGCCCGTCCTTGCCTGCACATCCTTAAACAAAGCAGCCCAAGGGCAACGGTTTATCAGGGTTAGAGGAAGATGAGGACATCAGGAGGTGGCCTCAAACCCTCCACACGTGCTGGTTGTTGCAGCCGAGGCTCAGGTAGGAGGTGGTCTAGCTCAGCTATGGGGAGCCCTGGCCACAGGCATGGAATAACGAGTGCTGGATTGTTTCTGAAGCCTGAAAGCTCTGCACACAGTTTAGGATGTTATTAGCACCCCAAGAAGCTGTCCTCACGGGGCTGACTGCTGAACTCCTTTTGGTACAGGAGCCAAGAAACGGGCGCAGGCGAGTGTCCCGGGCCCCTCTTCCCAGGGCCCCGCGCCTGTGTCCAGGAAGCGCCCTGCTCTCGGGCTCCCCACTGACTGATCTGGACTGTCTTGGTTGTTAGCTCTTCCTACAACTCCTGACTTGGCTTTTACTCTCCATTTTCAGATGTTGCTCTTGTGTTTCTGTTTTTAAGGTACAAACAAGAAAAACATATAATGGAATTTTTGAAGGATGGAAATGTGCACAACTAGACATTTGCTTGTAGCCTGAAATACTTCTTTGGCAAACGATTTCTCAGCAAATTCTTTTCTTTTTATCCATAGCAAGTTGGTAGGATGTCCTTTCTGGGGAATGGTGGACATGTAGGTTAAGGTGAGGGAAGAAGAAAAAAGGGACACTTCTCTAGTCATTCACGGAACATTCTAGATCTAGATCTCTGAGTTACATTTTCTGCTTCAGGTTGCCAGGTCAATCCACATGCCTGGAGGGTGTGGGGTCGCTAGAATTTGGCTATTGGGGCAAGATTGAACACAGAAACGAACATAGGCAAAGACACACACACATACACACTCACACGAGAAATTTCTTGTCAAAGCACCAAAACCTCTTTTCTGTTGGCATGTGACAGCTGCTTAGCATATCCTCTGGCATCTTCCTGCCCACCCCCCAGGCTGGTCCTGTGCTTGGGCTCCATGTTAATGGATAAGGAGTTCTGTGTTTTTTGGTGTCAGTGGGGTGTGAGAGGCTGTCCACACTGTGGAGAACGCCAGGTCACTGGGCAAGGTCCCCAGGACACTTGGCCACTGCTGTCATCTCGGGTCCACCCTGAAAACTGTCACAGCTGCCCATGACTTCTAAGAATTCTGGGCAAATGCATGAAGGTCTTCTGGGTCAATCCTATCTTGAATAGGACCCAAATGGAGACATTTCTGAGAACTGACCTGGCCTAACTGAACCAACTTGTAGCTATTTAAAAAAATGAACTATTTATTTCATTGCACTTCTTAAATATTCAGGATCCTTCATTTAGGATTCTGAAACATTTAACTGTCTTTTGTTGCTTTTTATCCTTTTATAGCTCCCGTTTAAGATCTCATCTATTTAAATGATATTTCACTTCAAGATTTAGCATTAGGTCTGTTCTAATAATCTGGATAATATTTTACGGCTTTAATAGTGTGTATTAGTTGAACACTCCTTACAGTATGTCTGTCGGGAGCTGTGAGGGCAGTGGAGAGCCAGCGTGGTGGGGCTCTCTGGCCCAGGCAATGACAGTCCTCACAGACCCTCACTTCAGAAAAGTCTGGAGACTCAGATTAAGGTTTCTTGAGCCTCGAGCCTGCCACTCAGAGCACGCTGCTGGCTCGCTGCGGCGGCGCAGCCTTTAACACAGTGAACCTGTTCTCGTGCAAGGAGCTGAGTTTACCCGGTGCCTGGTCTCACACATGAGTAAGTGTGCCCAACAAAGCCATAAAGCAATCCCTGAGCAGCTTCTCTGTGGTGACGGCGGAAGAAGCCGAAGATACAGCCCTGCCCTCTGAGCACGCGTGGCCACCGACACACCGGACAGGTCCCAGGCGGCCCCAGAGCCGCCGAGTCTCTGTGCCCTCCCACTACAAGTGCATCCTCTGCGAGCTGAGCCGCTGTCATGTCCAGGCTCAGCATTTGTAGCCCAGACATACATCTGTGTTGTTGCTCCCCTTAAATACCACCTTGAGAGACCATCTAGCATCCACCTACCTACTTTTGGATCTCAACTCAGAATTACTTGGTAGCCTGGAATATCTGGGGGTCACTTCTCTCCCTGGAGAACTGAAAGGTAGTGGAAAACAGCTCTTCACCATATGAAAGTTTTTCAGGCTGGGCGCAGTGGCTCACACCTGTAATCCCAGCACTCTGGGAGGCTGAGGCGGGAGGATCATTTGAGCTCAGGAGTTCGAGACCAGCCTGAGTAAGAGCGAGACCCCGTCTCTACTAAAAAAATAGAAAGCTGGACAACTAAAAATATATAGAAAAAATTAGCCAGGCATGGTGGTGCATGCCTGTAGTCCTAGCTACTTGGGAGGCTGAGGCAGGAGGATCACCTGAACCCAGGAGTTTGAGGTTGCTGTGAGCCAGGCTGATACCACAGCACTCTAGCCCAGGCGACACAGCGAGACTCTGTCTCAAAAACAAAAAAGGTTTTTAAAAAGTATTTTTCTGAAATATAGTCAGGGGTAAGGATTACTAAGAGTTTAGGGGCCAGGCAGTCGATATCTAGATCGGAACAGCCAACCAAGTTGTCTTCCAGGGTATTCTCTGGAGGCCAGGGGAGCAGAGGGCCGTGGCAGCGCTCTCCTTGACGCGGCAACCGGGAAGGAGCAGATTCCCTTCCAGTGTTCTCCAGGGCAGGCTGGCCCTCGGCCCTGCAGAAAAGCCATGCGCGGGCCACGTGCTGCCGCCTCCGGGCCCTGAGATGCTGTGCTCCCCTGAAACAGGCAACAAAAGCGATGTCGTGGGAGTACGTGAGTCTTTCACCAGCTGCCGGTGAAAGACTTCACAACTCTTGCTGTGTTTTTTTTTAAAAAACTCTTGTCTAGGACTTAGAGGAGCGGCCATGTAACAGATCTCTTTTCAAAGCACCTGAAGGTCCAGGCCCAGCTGGCACCATGTCCTGCCCAGGCCCTGCTTCTCTGCCCTTATCGTGGCCAGCCTCATTCCGATTTGATCTGCAGGACAGTGCCGCTAGTTCTGCTGGGAGACAGCCAGGGGCCTGCGGGTGGGGCTTTGGTGGTGAGACCCCAGAGGTAGCCGAGGTTGGGAGGACGGTATCGGGCTGGTGCACAGAGAGGACTGGGAATGGCAGGGTCAGGGGCTTCTGGGGCCAGCATGCCGGGAGCCAGCCAGTGTGGGTTAAAGGTGTGTGGGGGGAGAGGGGGCCTTGTTATCCCTGAATCGCCTTTCTTCCAGGAGTCACATGCATCTCAGGAGTGTGCACTAGTGCTGTGGCCTTGTTGGGAGGTGCTGAACCTCGGAGCCACCAGGATGGCGGCAGGGCGAGGGCGCCCGAGCACACGTGTTTTAAGCTGTGAGTCTTATGGAGCTGACCAGAGAGGCTGCGTGCTCAGAGGCAAGGTCTGAATAAGCACAAGTCCACTGGGACATACAGACTGAGGGTGAGTGAAGGAGGTGCGCGCAGATGGAGGCGGTTTTCAAGCGGAATCCCCATCCTGGCTCTAGTGTGCACTGGACGGGGCGATCTGTGGGGGCGTGCTGAGCAGAAGACGTGGCAAAGCACAGGACCCAGCAAGGGACACGCCAGAGAAGGAAGGAGAGGAATGCAGAACGCAGCCGTGCCCCACCACCTCTGGCTTCTGCCTCCTTCTCGAAGTGAACCCCTAGCTACAAGGGGAAGAGCTTGGCTTGTTTTTGGAGTCACGGGCACAGGTTGAAAGGCCCCTTCAGAACTCCTTCTGAAGGGTCTTTTGCCCCAAAGGGACTGCCAGAGAGGCGCAGAGCAGGGGTCTGCCGGTTCCCGGCTCTCTCCTGCTCTAGTCCTTTTGTGCTGCCGTGCGGAAGGCTGAGGGCCGTGACCGGTGTGATTCCCTGCGCGGTGGCCAGCTCATGCGGAGTCCCTTGCTGTTCCTCCGCAGGCCCGGCTCTGGGCGCCATCACCCTCTGCAACACTCGCCAGATAGGCTGATTACGGAATCGCCAGGCGGTTACCTCCCCCGGGAAGGACAGCCAGCGTCCACTCACTCAAACCAACCAGCCTGTGAAGAGTCAAAGAATGAAAGTGCCCTGTCAGCAAGTGCTAACAGTATCAAAGAACTCCTTATGCTAGAGAGAGAGAGAGAGAGTCGGAAGGACAGAGAAGAAAGGGAGGGAGAGACAGAGAGACCGAGGCAGGGATGGGCAGAAAGAAACTGACACAGAGGATTCTCGGGCGGGAGCGCTGAGCGTGGGTGGATAGGTCAGCAGAGGTGGCAGTCCTTTTCGAGGCACTGCGGGCATCTATGAGCATGCCTATGTTTCCTCATGACTAGCTCATGGAATCTTCTAGGTGCCTTCTCCCTAGAGCTTTCTGGCAAAGACCCTGACAGAGGCTTGCTGAGTCCATAAGACCTGATGCATCAGACACTGGCCACGGGGTGCGCTGGGACAGCTTCCTCCCACTCTTTTGTTTAGGGGAAATGAGAGGGTTGTATGTGGGTTGACAAGATAATAGGGAAGGGAAAGAAAGAGAATTAGAGGAAAATAAAAAGGCCATGGTTTTGATGAGAAGGCAGAAGGCAAG